CAGCGGGATCAAGTGAAATGTCGAAACTAATATGCTCCATCTTTTCCCTGCTGATATTTACTTTTAATTTCAAAGAATCTCAGTTTAGAATTACATGCAAAGCAAGAATCTTGCTTTAAAGCAATGGTTAGGTAAACAAGACAGCTTCATAACCCATGTTTCGATGTTTGCTCATTTAGCAACTACTGGTTGTTTAAAACCAGGATTGTTGATTCACATGCAATGCTAAGCCAAGTTTTTTGGGTTTTTTTTGAGACTGAATGTACCTTTGGAAAGTAGTCCTCATCCTGGCCACATTAGAGGAGAGGTGTGTGTATGTGTGCACATGTGTATGCTTGACATGGAGTTTACTGAAGCTTGTCCATGTAGCACCGAGATGGGAAGCCTTTTTCAGCCCAATTGTCATGCTTTCTTTGGGGCAACAGACAAGCAGTGGGCAGGACCAGGACAAGTGAGTACAGCAATTGATGTGCCTTTTTTCTTTGCACTAGGATAAGGAACTCTAGATCAGGAATAGCCAACATGGTGCATTCCAGATGTTTTGAACTACAACTCCCATTATCCCTGCTGGCTGGAGCTGTTCTAGATGCTGCTGGACTACAGCACCCACAATCCGTGACCACTGGCCATGCCACAAGGTGAAGTCCAACAACATCCACAGAGATTCCCTATTCCTGCTTGTTATATTCCCTTCACACAAACGTCAGGTTTCTACATGTCTCTCCATCCAGCATTATAATTCAAAGGCACAGTCAAGTCACACAAAAGCACCTGAAGGCATAACGAAAGGCCAGATAGAGAGGCCTGGAGGGCTGTATTTGGCTCCTGTGCCTAAGGTTCCCAACACCTCATATAACACTAAACCAGTGATATCTAATGTGATGCCCTCCAGAATCTAGATGAGTTGGACCACAACTTCCATCATCCCTGATCATCAGCCATGTTGGCTGGGGCTGATGCAAGACATCTGATAGACACCAGACTGGAGAAGCCTGACTTTAGAGTTATATATGAACCAGACAAGCAACTGGATTATCTGTCAATTACTATTCCCATTGCTAGAAGATGTATCTGTAAACAAGTTAATGAGTAGAATTCAAGTCATGCTATAAAAATGTTCCACCTGCACAAGCTTATCAGTTTGCCAGGTAGAATCAGCCTCCTCTCCCTCAGTCGTGGGGGGCTCTCCCAACCAACCTAGAGCCAATTTGGGGGGACAGTGAGCTGGGAAAGTCCTGCTGCGCAAGCAGAAGTCCTTGCGCAGGGCTTTCGCTGATAGGGTTTATTAGGTGACTCCTGCCCTATATGGGGAGGGGAGAGAGAAAAGAATTTACAAGTCTACCAGTACATGGTAGCAAAGAGTTACAGCTAAAAGTTTAGCCGTGAAGAGTTAACCGACATTTGTACCCCTCATGCAAGGGTTCCGTAACACACAGCTGACACCTGCTGGTACACCCTCATCAGAAGTTGTTAGTTTGCCAACACTTGAGATTACGTCATTAGAGAGAAGTAAACGCATTCACATCTTGTGTAAGACCCCAACCCATATGGCTCAATTACAAGCACTGTGAATGCAAGATTTCTGATGCCCTTCATTCCAGAAGCACCCTTTAACAAGCCACCCAAATAACTCTGAATGACTTCAAGCAGCAGCTTTTGATAATATAAGGAACTAATTCCAGAAAAAAAACAACAATAAATTGCAGGTTCTTCAGACTGGAGCTTTAGAAAGCAAGTTTGATGCTTTTTACTGCTGTAAACAAGGAAGAAGTTTTTGTTTCATTTTTAATTAAAAACTAGGTGATATGCTCACAGATGGTTAGAACTTTATGTTTATGGGTGTTACAGGAAGTCACAACTGTAGTGCAGATATACCACTTAGGAACTAGTTTAAAATTAAATTTAATAGAAACTAATGGACACAAAAGTTAGTTTAAAATTCTATCTCAAAACATTTTCGCTATTAATTGTGACATGATAAACCCATAAAGTACCCCATCCAGCAACTTTAAGCAAGATTGCTAGAGGTATACAGCACTAGACATTTTGCCTGTTGACAACACTAGTATGTTGGGATAAGGTGTTAGAATGCTAGGTACCCAAGATGAACAAATATGTAGTACAGTATGAGCCTATACATGTTTTACCAGGGAACCAACAAGTTTTCACTAAATTTTGCAATAAGCCTCCATTCAGTGTCATCTGGCACATGCAGAAGCAGCAGGAGGAAATAAAGGGTTAGCTTTACACTTGAAACTTTAAAGCTACACACACTTCTCACCACTTCCACATGCCTCTAAAGTACTGAACCAGTCAAGTGACAATGGCCCCCTCATTTTGGATGTGCCAGAAAACTTTGCCATTGGAAGAGGTTTCACTTCATGCCCTTCCACGATGTGATTGCCAAACAGATTCCTGGCCTCAGGTGTGGAATTCCATTTATTCAGAAGCATTTCTACTGAGTTCCAGAGATGCTTACTCATGTAAGCTCTCCATAAGTCTACAGTCACACCTTACTTACCCTTCCAAGCCCTTGAATTTGCTTTTTTACCTGTGTAGCACTAGTTACAGAATGTACACACATACCTGTAGCTCTGAATATGTTCATACACTAAGACTTCCAAAGGCTTTATTTTGGGTAAACTGCACACACTTTTAGAAAAGTTTGTAAGAAAAAAAACTTTTCCAGAAAAGGGGTTGATTAATTCAGTTTCATGCTTAGCTTTAAGTGTTAAAATAAGCCAGCTACTATAGATGTCACCAATTATTTAACAGATTTGTTTCCATTAGCTTTCTAACAGAACAGAATTTCCCCTGAAGAGAGACTTTATTTAAATATTTCTAAGTTACACACATAATGGTGTCAAAGCACTATCATTTGCCAGGTTTATTTATGGAAAGAAGTGGAACAAGCATTATACAAGCAAATCCCCCTAGTGGTTTGGCAACAAACCTGCATACAAGTTTATCACATGATGTACACAAAAGCAAGACTTCTTGGGCATTTGCCAATTTGGACCACATTAGAGGGGAAAATAAGGTCTCCGGTTATCAGTTTGATTTCATATTTCTCCCCCTGCCCCACACAACTTTTCAGTTGCACCAAAGACATGCAAATGCTAGTTTGGGCAAGTTGCATGAACTAGCTGTATACAACAGCAAAACTGAGATTCTTTTCGATGGTAGGAAAAGCAGGAGTGAAAGAAAAGAAATTACTTTTGTTAAGAAGTAGGTCACAGTATACAAGCTGTGAACATTGCAATCAGACATTTCTCCATGCAACACTGCATCCAAAACTACCAATCACGGCTCCCAAGCACCAGCCAGAAACAGATCTCCCCATTCACAATCATGAAGTTAGTACCTTACACTTGTGAAGCTCTGCTACAGTACCTTTCCTCCTAACACTAGCAACTGAAAATCTCCAGCATGCCATATTTTGCATATAGAACTTAACATTTGATATACCTTAGCTCTACAGTCTAACACTGTTGTGATCTACACATTTCCCCATATCACTGAAGTAGACATTGAAAAAAGTCTAACATCATACCTCAAAAGACTGAGTTATGTGATCCACATAACCAAATTATTCACCTATTCAACCTTGAAGTCATGAAGGAGGGGCACAGATAATAGCTGAGCATATGTTCTGAATGTAGAACCTGCAAGATTCAAACCTGACATTTCCAGGTAGAGCTGAGAGAGACTCATGTTTTGGGAGTCATGCTCTGGAGCATAGCTGCCAGTAAGTGTAGACCAGGAGTGGGCAGAATATAAACTGAAGTGAATAACAGGAGATCAGCAGGAATTCCAGCTCCCAGTTGTTTATATTCTCTCCTTCTCTAAATCAGGCAGCCAAGCTGAATAAAGCTTGGGAGGAAAACCAAGAGCAAATATTTGTGCATCTGAACTGTGAGCTCAGTTCTAGTTCTGAAAACAAATCCCTGGACTGAGCATGAATCAAGTATGCTCATTAACTCTGGGAGCAGGCTGACCCCACCACCTCCGCTATTTTGTCCTTGGCTCCATATGGTAGGTCTCAGGAGTCCAGGGAAGAAGCAGCAGCAGCAGCTCCACAAAAAATCTTAAGTCTGGTGAAGACAACACGGAGCTCAAAGGTTCAGGGGCTTGACTTGGTATAAGGCACCTTTTTATGAGCAAATCCTCCACTTTGCTCCAGAAGCACCCAGGAAGGAGGCCACAAACTCCCATGCCCCGCAGATCAGCTAGCCTCTACCACGTGGGGCACTGGCTCTTTCCACCCGGCTCTGTACACCCGCCAGAGCTTGCAACACAACATGCCTCCGAGGCACTGCTGTGTGTGTGTGTGTGTGTGTGTGTGTGTGTGTGTGTGTGTGTGTGTGTGTGTCTTAAGACACACACACACACACATTCTCTCTCCTCTAAGGGGGTGGGGGAGAAGACTCGGGCCTGTCGTAGCGATTCCTAATCCACTAGAAATCCTACAGATCTTTCCCCTCCACGCACCAGCCACGCTGTGTCACCCGCCTCCTCCCTGGCCCGCCTAATAGACCCACGGACTCCCCTTCCTCAGCACCTGCAGGCGCAGCCCCGCCAGCAGATGCCAACGCCCTCCTGGGGGCAAGGCGGCTGCCCAACCACCCACCGACCTCCCCCGAGGAGCAGGAGGCCTGACGGCACCCACCCCGCTTCCCCCAGACCAGCACAGACCGTGCCGCGGCCTGGCCGGAGCCGGGGAGCGGGGAAAGGGCGAGGGACCGCTCCCGTCGCGCTGCCGTCGGCGCTCTGTTCCCCCCCCCCACGCCCCTCGATTCGTCCTCCCGCCACGCTGCGCCCCTGTGAGGGAAGCCAGTCCCGCCCGCAGCCGTTACGGGAGCGAGAGAGAGAGAGACCGGGGGACGGGGAGGCAGCGGGGGAGCTCTAGGCCCCGGGCCCCCGTCCAGAGCGGCGAGGCTCCGCGCTCTTCCCTCTCCCGCCGCCGCGCCTTCCAGACCCCAGGCAGGCGCCCGGTTTACCTGCCAAGTCCGGCTGTAGCCGGGGCAGCGCTACTCGCTGCCCGAACCGAGCCGCGTCCCCTTCCGCCATCTTGTCCAGGTTTAAAATTAACTCCCCGTGACGTCAAACGCCGCCGCGAGCCCTTTATCGGCGCCCGCGCCGAGCCCGCCGAGGTGGTCCTAGCGCCGGCATGATCTGCCCGCGCGCGCGGCGTGCTCTCCCTCCTGCTTCTCTCTCTTCTCCCCCTCCCCCTCCCCCTGTCAACCGACAAGGCGCCTGCGCAATCGTTCCGACCGTTTCCCGCTCACCTCGGCTCTTCTGCTGGCTGTCGCCGCCGTAGGCAAAACGACGCCTCCCGGGTCCTAAAGCCGGTGCTCATACATCCCGCGCTGAAAAGTCGGTAGGCTACGGATTATTTGTTTCTTCCTTTCATTTTAGGGCCCCTACGAGCTCAGCCACTGGTTTTGTTTGCCGTGACTGCGGCCCAATAGCGGAAAGATGTGAGAGTTGAAAGGGGTGGGGGCCTCTGAGCATGCACAGAGTGCATTTGTTTCCCCCCCCTCCATCAAAAACCAAAGTCTGACCTGGTTCTTAAGCCTAGTAGGGTGTTAGGAAAGAGGTGGAGAGGCTTCCAGCTCATGGCAGGCTAGAACTCCAACTTTATTTTTAAAAAGACATTATAGGGTACAGTGGTGATCAAAGTAATTTGCTGCACAATCCTATATACATGCCTACTCAAAATTAAGGCCCATTGAGTTCAGTGGGGCTTATTCCCAGGTGAGTAACTACAGGAGTGCAGCCTTCAATCTTATGCCTACTTACCAACAGTTTAACTGTCATTCACTGAGGATGCCTTTTGATGCAGAAAACGGAATCCTCACCACTACTTTGAGTGAAGCGAGTAATTTTTTTGTTTCCTTTTCCCACAAAGACTCTGCTGATGGAAGCTTCTGTTTTGTTTTTAATTGTACCTCTACCCATATCCACCTTGAATTCAATGGGGCTTATTCTCGGACAAGTGGGGACAGGATTGCAGCCTTGAACAGCAAAGTAAAGACATCAGTTCCTACTGTTTACTTAAGTACATTTAAGGTTAACAGGACCTGGATTTCTTTTTGCACCAGGCAAGTCCTAACTTTCCCCCTCTGTTGTGTGGCAAGCCTCAACTTGGGTATAGGACAAGCTGAGGTGGGAGAGAGTTCAGTCTGTGCTCAACACAGAGCTCTGAAGTTGCTAAGGATTCCTGACATGAGGATATTGGCTCTTTGAGGAGAAATAAAGTTGCAAAATCATAACACAAAAACCCTGTTAATGCCATTTTGCATTTAGTATAATAGGTTGCCATATTGCTTGGGAATTGTCCAAATTTCCTCTGCCTGAGCAGATGCCAGTTTCATAGTTTTGGCACCACCCCAGATCTTTTGAACCCATTCATTAGTTTCTGGGGGTTTGTTGCTCTTCTTCCAATATCGTGCATTTAATAGGAGGGATCTAGTGTAAAATGAAAGAGAGCAGCACTCACATTCTCTCAGGCATAGCAATCATTCTATGAATGGAACGGGCTTCCGTTCAAGGAGCCAACTGCATCGGATCTCCCTTCCCCCCAATATTTTTCTCAGCTATCAGCAGATTTGCTGTCAATTTCTGCAATTTGAAGCAATCTCCTTCAAATAATCAAAGCATTATCAGTGGGTCCCTTGATAAATTTATTCCTGTACAGTAATCCTGATTATAAAAGCAAAGAACTTGTTCCAGATAAATAGCTATACAGGGTTCACAACATATGTATATTTTTGAAGAGAAAATATTAAGCTCAAATCCATATTTTTTACTTTGGTCTTGTGGACCTATCTTTTGGGATGTGTTGGGAGGAAATTGTGTTACAGAGAAAGTATTATCACAAGGAATGTGATAAGAGCTTCACTGTCACTTTCACACATGAAAATTGTTACTTCAGCTTTGAAATTGGAGAAATGTCTTCCAGTGCTGTGCTCTTTGAAAAGAGAATGCTCTCTGTGAGAATGTGGTTGTGCTAATTCAGAAAGACAGCCACTGATAAATTAGGAACAAATATTAAAAATTAAAAGATACACTACTGGTTATAAAGTGCTTTTTTCAATCTTGCATGTATTTGCTTGGCTGTACTGAAGAACAATGACCAAAGAAAGATTGGGAAGTTATTTTGACTACGGCTGTCTTGGTTTGAATGGTTTACCAAAGACATTGAAAGTACAGCAGCACATTTAATACAAGATCCAAAATGCACTTTCAGTATTGTGCGTGCGCAGTTCCTTTGCTTACTGTCAAAAATACATAGCCTGCAATCCAAAGAGTTATCTCTTTCATGATCCCAATGGGAATTTTTCTGACTTTCCCCCCATTCACCAGAGGTCTGCAATGCAATATTGCAATTTGCTTTTGAACTTCCACTCCATTTCAAAAGTGATTTGTCATGGGGGCAGTTAAAGTACTCATGAGCTGGTGCACGGGTGAAGAATCTCTGGTTCTCCCATTGTTGAACTACAACTGCATCATCCCTGACTATTGGCCATGCTGGCTGGAGCTGATGGGAGTTCGAGTCCAACAGTAAGTGAAAGACCACAGATTCCTCATCCCTGAGCTCGTAAAATTGTTTTCATGATTTATTGGATCCTGGCTATAATGAACAGCACTGGAAAAGACATCAAAGCTCTAACATATATCTTTTGTTATCTTCTGTGCTTCTCTGCATGGCCTTATTTTAAGTCACAAAAGAAAGTTTCCTGAGGGTCTCAGCTCTCATTTTCATCCCCCGCCTGTGTCTACTGTACGTCTGTTTATTTCCCTGCCCCCCAGATAATTTGCCTGGGTTCAGAGTTCCTTCTTCCAAGAAGGGGCAAGCACTGCATTATGCTATCTGAAATTACTGTCTTTAAAAATATCACTACACACTCCAGACAACATCAAGCACTGTTAATGTTGTACTGATTCCAACTGCAGACCTATAGCATGTGCTTAAATTTATCCTACTGAAATTAGTGAGGCATTTAGAAGTGTTTAACTTGGTCTAGATTGTGCCAGATATATTTAGAAAGGGGACACGCTGCAGACGACCTAGTCGGAGGAGGGGAAGGAGGCTGGGTAACTTTCTAAAACTGATGACATTGGTGGAAACCAAGCACAGAAAGAAGATTCTAAAAGTGCATCCCAACTGGCGGCTGTTTGTGGGATATTTTCCAGCTGCTAATAATGCCCAGCTCAGAGCATGAATTAAGATAGATTGAGAAAGCCAATTCCCTGAATAATCTGTTCATTTATATATGAGGAGATCCATTCAGTTCTCATGATGTTGATTGCTTTGGGAGGAAGAATGCAGTAAAAATAAATAAATTGCTTTCACGCCATGACTTAAAATCTATGTTGCTAGGGATTTGGTACCATGAAGGTCACCATAGTTCTTAGTCCATTCTGACTGTCTTTGCTTCTTGAGACTGTTCAGGTATCAGTTCATTACTATTTTGCTTCTTGCTTCTTATTCTTTGATTACTATTTACAACTACCTCATTTTCTTTTTTTTCTTTTTTAAGAAATATTTATTCAAGATTTTTTACATTTATCACCCAACACATATAACCCCATACCCAACAATACAGTAAACAAACAAAAAAGAAATAACAATAAAAATACATACAAAAAAGAGAAAAAGAAAGAGAAAACAAAATTATAGCATCGTAGCCAAATTCTTAATATTCATGCTTTCCTTACTTTTGGACTTCCTCACATCTTCCATTCCTGCTTTCCAGGTTTATAAAATTCTTTACAGCAAATTATCACCTTATTTTAATTTCTTATTTGTATTTTTCCCCATATTATGCCTCTAATTTTATATTTATTTTCCAAACGCTTGAGTACTTAATTAGACATAATGTCAGCCAAAAAAAAATTAACTTTTTCTCAAATTTCACCTATTCTCAGATTCTTATCAGCTAACTTACTGATGCCACATTTATTTTTACTCTTGCATCATCTTAACACTCATACAATTTACAATGTTTTTGTAAGTAGTCCTTGAATTTCTTCCAGTACAACTACCTCATTTTCAACCAACAGAAATATATTTATCTCTTTATTAATATGATGCTGTTCATAAAAAAATACGGGACTGGTCTACAACAGCTATACATAAAACCATACAATAAAAACCAGTTTAAAATCAGAGCTCAGCTCTCTGCTGTGGAAAGATGTGTTCTTAATGGCCCACGTGAGCCTAATGGAATGTAGAACTTTTCATCAGGCGTTTAAAAAGTTGAAACAGAAGGTGCCTGTTGAAATTCTGTTGGCAGAGTATTCCACAAAGCTGGCCGGATGACACCAAAGGCTCGGTTTCTTGTTGCTGTCAGAGGAGCCTCCCCAACTCAAAATAACAACTAACAACAGCCCTGCAGATAGTCTCAGTGATTGATCTGGGATATAAGAGTTCAGGCATTCCCTAAGGAACCCTGGGACCTAAGTTGTTCAGGGCATAAGTTTCCACAAGGACATCACATGGTGCCAGCCAGCTGCCCACCTCAGCATTCTGCACCAGCTAGAGTTGCCTCACCAGGCCCAAAGACAGCCCCACGTAGAGCTCATTGCAGTAATCCAGCCTCAAGGTGACCAAAGCATGAACTACACCGGTCAAGCTATCCCCATCCAGGAATGGCTCTAGCCGGCTAACCCAACAAAGCTGGTAAAAGACATTCCTAGCCACAGAGGACACTTGGGCTGACAACGATTTATTTAGAAGTACCCCCAAAATACGCACTTGCTCCTTCAGAGGGAGTGCATCTGCAGCAGGTAACTTTTCTATCTCCAGGACATGAGGACCACATACCCAAAGAGCCTCTGTCTCACCAGGATTCAAGCCCTCATCCAGTCCACCACTGCATTCAGACTCTGATCCGGATATTTCACAGCCTCACCTGATTCAGGGGTTATAGAGAAGTAGAGTTGTGTGTGCTCAGAGTACCCATTGCTCCACAGCTCCTAATGACTGCTTGATGACACCTCAAAGTCAGGGATTGAAGTGGAAATTGAGGGAGATACTGGAGCCCTGCATCTAAAACACAAGAAGTTATCCCTCACTTAGACAATGAACAGAGTGACACTCTTTGTCTCTTCCCATTCATTTTATGAATTAATATGTTTATATCCCACCTTTTCTCCCAGGAGCTCAAAGTGGTATATAGATGGTTCTTCCCTTTCCCATTTCGCTCTCTCAACAACCCTTTGAGGTTTTTAAGCAGAGGTTGGATGGCCATCTGTTGTGTATGGTTTAGTTGAGATTCCTGCATTGCAAGGGTTGGGATAGATGACCCTTGAACCCCCTTCCAACTCTACAATTCTACAATTCAATGATTAAGCTGAAAGACAGTGAGTGGC